ATTATTTGATCAAGGACTTTAGAAGTCCCTGTATTTATGCTCTAAATGTCAGCTACTTTCTGAGTAACAAGGTCAGTCTCTATTATAAAACGTTTATATAGTACCATAACTCTTCATGGTGATTAGGGATTAAGTCATGGTGCCCGACTCAGAGTCCAGGATCTCTAAATTAGAGAAGTGAAGAGGGCCGGAAGAAGCGGGCAAGGATTAAAACAAATAAAAATAGCTTGTACCAGGGAGCAAAGGAATCGTAAGCTTGTTTGGTATTTTTTTTTGATTCTTGGCTATTGGAACGGTTTCATCTGTAGATACCAAAGGCTTTACAAAAGAGGGAAGAGTACAAATGGAGATGGGCTACTGCTAATTTTAGATCTGACCCCCTCTCCGCCAATAATTTGAGAAGTAAGTTGCCTGTTGAGAAGGCAGAAATGTTGGGCCAGTGCTGGCAAAGTGGATTTAGGGTCGTTTCAAATTCAGAAAAGCACCTCTCCTCTTCGCGTTGAATAATAAGACTATCCCTGAGGATCCTGTTGACAGGCATTCAGGTGGCCAGTCATCTGTGAATTCTGCTCTCTTACCTGCTGCCGCTTTATCCACCAACTTTAGGAGCGTCCTTGTGGAGTTGGCTGAATTTTTTTCACTCTGTAAAAAGATGCAGTCTCTCTCCTGGCCTAAAAGGATTTGCAAGTCAACTTCCATCACTACTTCTGCCCTGCTCATGGTTGTTCCTTTCTCTTGCCACTCGGCCAAGGTTCGTCTTCCTGGGACAAACTGGAAATGCCCTGGCTGCCTAATTTTTATGAATCAAGGAGGCCTGCTCCAGGGAGTTCCCATCCCTAGACTCCCGCCTGTGGATGATCCTCTTGTGTCTATTAGGTGAGAGCCAGCGTTGTCCGGCATCTCTTTGCCATGGAAGCAGGAGATGTCAGCTGTCTTTTTTTGGGTCCTGCCTGATGTAAGCATAGAGAAAATATTTCAACAATAAGCAGGTCTGGACCACTGGAGCATAAAGATGTGGTTGGCTTTCATGAGCATTGCCCTGAGAAAAATGGAGCGAGCCGAGTGAAGGGAGCTGAGCTCAACACCAGCGGCTTCTGGTTCTGTCTTGTAATGATGCGTTTCCTTAGGTCTTTCTTTGGCCCCTAGACTTAGCCCATCTCTCTGTTGGCAGGTCCTTGCCAGTTGTTGCCTCCGAATGATAGCCCTCTGGCCATTTGATTTTGTGAATTGTGCAGAAGCTTCCTGACCTCCCTCTTGAATCTCATCCACCTGGGGGTCTGTTTAGCATGTACCTTGGAAGTGTTTTGCAAAGACAGACGGAAAATGCATCTGTTGGTCCCTCGTGTGTGGTCCCTTGGGTTCAGTTTCAGGCCCCGCAGCTGTTCTTTCTCCAAGCCAGGACCAGATAGTCTATCAGGAAAAACTGGCCAACTTATGTTTCTATCTCCAATCTGTTACTGGGGTCCTTTCTATCCAGTCCCCCCTGGCTGATTGTAATGAATAAGCACAATTCTGTCTGAGTGGGGACACGCATGTCTCAAGGGAAATGCCTTTATGTGCAGACTCTCTCGATTTTCAGGGTTAAATAGGACCGTGACAGCATTTTGGATTTTTATCAACATAATGTTAAAGCTCCAGTACAGTAGACCTCCCGGATGTTAAGTGAGATTGACAACTTTTCATCTTATGAGGGAAAAGCGCAAAAATAAAAATTGTGCTTTTAAAGAAGTCTCCAGTTCTCTAGCATGATGATAGTATAGAATTGCAAAGCTTGAATGCTAACTGACATGGTAAACAGTGCTTTGAGATGACTCTCACGTATACAACTTATGCAGTGCTACAAGAAAAAAAATCCCACCAAACTAAAAATAAGTTGACTATGTTATATGGTAAAACAGTAATTTGCCTGGGCTTTTGCTTCCTTTTAAGATACAGAGCTGCTTACTACAGTAGAAATAGGGAAAACAAGACTCCCATTTTATTTGTGAGCCATCTTTGTGTGTCTCTTCAGTTTGCTTGCAAATGCTGTGCTATAACTTGCTAAGCCCTTTCATTGTATTCTGGTGTCACGCACCATTTCAGCGTGCCGCCCCACGTCCAGGTGTCCCTTTAAAATGCATAAAAGGAAATTGTGCTCTATAATCTCATTTCCTCATTTGTACTGTTGTGGAATGGGAGGTCTGTAAAGCAGGTTTCTACTGCAATAAAAATTTACCCGCTTTCTTGGTGCTATATGAATGAGACTTGACTTAAAAATCAAGCTAAAGTGTTCAGCCTGTTGTCCTTAATAGGGAAAAACCCAGTGTCCCAAATGTTATATACTTCATCATGGTGTGTCTTGAGACGAGAAAGGTACGTTTTCAATTGCTTTAACTTACCACTTTGGAATAGCCTCTTTAGGACGGTGGCTACAACATATGAAGCCTTGTTAGCTGCATATTACACTCTCAGCTAGGTTACAAGTTGATTCTTTAACAGTGTATTACAGGTCTTTTTCTCATGTTAAACCAACACAATCAAGGCAGGGAAATGTATATATTTTTTATTTTCCTGTGCCTCTGGGAGTTTAAGGGACTGTCTGTGGCTCAGTTTACTCTTGGTATAATAATCTAAAAACTCTTTCAGGGTGGTGGCCATTGCCATTTTGAAGTAGGTGAAACAGCACCCAATTGTGAAATTTTGTTTTTGCTGGAGCTGTGGCACTGGTATGGAGGCATTGGCTGGATCTCTTGGCTTAAGCAACCCTTTTTCTGGTCAGTAGACAGATTGGTACTGTAGTCTGGATGCTTTCTACACCTACCAGTTGCCAAGTGTGAGAGAGAGGTGGTCGCTGACCCACTTAGGCTTTCCAAATTGCTCAGCTCCTTAGGGCAAAGCTGAGGACAGTTGTGAAATTAAAGTAAATGTGTTATTGCAGTTGTTAAAGTAACTGGATTCAGGATTTCTTTTTGAGAGAGACCCATACAATAATCTTGTTGTGTAGGCCTCTTATCTGACTAGGATGGATAGCAGTTGCAGTGAAGATGCAGTGGCATGGGCTTTGGAGAGGTCAGCAGCTCAACTATATATATGCTCAGGGTCCATGGTGGATTGTAGGGTTGTTGACTGGCTCCAGAGTTATTCCTTCTTCCCCCTATTGAAGCTGGCAGAGCAAAGCCTACCTGTGCTACATTTGCTTCTTCAAAAAATATACCCCGCATTTTTAATCATAAACAGCAATTAGCATGCTCCGTTTCCATTCAGTGTCTCATATGGTGATTCGTAGTTCAAACTCTTGGGATAAGTACAGACGGTCAAAAAGCCTGAGGCTGAATCAATTCAATCTTTGCAGGTTAGTCTAAGCTGTGTAGATTGAACCAATAAGCAAGTGAACAGACATCCACTTTTGATTCCAGAAATGCAGCCACGTGCCTGCAGTGGCCCAGGCTAGAAGCCGGGGGGTGCTAGAGCATGCCTCCCTGCTCTGCTGGAGCAGACGGCTTGGGCCAGGGCTAGCCTGCCCACCCTGAAGGGATGGGGAGGGGTTTGCTGGGGAGGTGCAAAGCACCCTGGGATGCTGGGGGACTGTGAGTTGACTTGAATCTGGGCGGGAATCTGGGACAGAAGTTCAATAAATCAGTTTAACCCAAATCAGTTCAGTCTGATACTACATCCATCCAGGTTGATCTGAAATCGGTTTAAGCTATTTTGAAAGCAGTTTATGTGCACTGAACTTCTGTTGTGTTACAGATGTGAACTGGTTTCCAATCATTTATACTGGTTCATGTGTAATGATGATATGGAAGCGAGGTGGGCAAAGCAGTCAGATTTTTCACTTGAATTGAGACTAGATTGCCTGCAGCAGAGTCCCTGGAAGCGGTTTTACATCCAAAATCTGTTCTCCCTCTGTTCAAAAAATCCAAAATCTGTTCTCTCTCTGCGGGGTATGCCAAACCAGGGAATCTTGGCCACTGAAGCCTGAATATGTTGCATGAGCCATGGGAAGGAAGACAAAGTTTGTACAAAACTCAGTAAGGAGACTCTTCCAGGCTTTCTGGAGTGCTACCTGATCACACCATAATCTTTTAAGAGTTGCCAGTATGGGCTCTTTTCCTGGTTTTTAAACTATTGGCCATCAGAAGACATGCTGAGTTGCATAAGCTGCCCCTTGGTTTTGTTCGCTTCAATTTTATAAATATGAAATGCTGGGAAAATGCCCGTTTTTTGTTATAAAGATGTTTTTGAATGCCACATATATTATTTTTCAAAAAAAAAAGGGAAGAATCCTGGAAAAAAAACCTGACAATTTGATGGTGCATGATGCACTAATAAAAATGCCTGTGTGGTTATGTTTAATCCTTTAAAGGAGAGAAAAGAAACACTGTAGTTATCAGCATTCAAAAGGCAAGACACAGGCTTAAATGTATGCAAAGCCTTGGAGAGACTGAAGAAATTTACTGACTATATTGCAGAAAGCTTCTGACAGGCGCATCGCGTCTTTGAAAGTAAGATTTGAATTATTAAAGCTGCCTTTGTTTATTAAATTGAGCCTCCAGTGAGGAGATTATGTGAAGAAATGGCACAAGGCTCGGGATGTATTGGGCATAGTTTTAACGGGTATTGGAACTAAATTTACCTTGTTGGGCTACTTCAGTAAATGCTTCGGAAAAAGAAAATTCAGGTTTTGGGTGGGTGGTAGGTGGTGCATTTGCTGTCTTCCTGTAGCAAAGAGACCTCATTTTACGGAGGCCAGTTTGTTTGTAGCAAAGGGTAACCTCTTTAAAATAAAAACACTCATAGGCAAGCACATGAGCAGAAGATATGTTGTTAATTTGTAAATCTAGGAGTACACGGGCAAGGCTGGGAGCTAAAGGAGAATGCAGCTACGCAAAGTCGGGGGTGGGGGTTGGGGCTGTTTCAAATCCTCCTCTAAGAGTTAATGATACGGTGCTTGAAGTACACTAAAAATAACTTGAACTGAAATGTTGAAGTAATCGCACTTCTAATGTTTTTTCATATAGCTATTTTTTTCCCCTTTGATTTACGCACATCACATGTCTGATATTACGCACACAGTGGTCTAACATCCAGGGAAGTGTAGGCCACTGGATTTTGAAATCTTTCATCACAATATTCATTTTTTCCCTCATTTATTATTTTTCCAAGCACTCTTGTCCCTGGGCTCTGTTGACCTTACATCTGTTGGACTGAAATACAAATATGCAAAAGTAATAAAGTAGACAGGGAAAAAAAATCTCAGCCAGTATTTTGAGACCAGCACAGCCACTACAAAAAAAAAAAAAAAAAGCACTGCAGAGGAGCGTCTTTAATTGAGACTTGGTCCTAAAACTTAGTGAAGAATTTCTGGGCTCGGGTTATGTCTGCAGTCCAAGTGCAGACAGCCGGCGTTCGTTCAAGGTTAGACTCGCTCTCCTATTTTTGCTAGCTTTTCATGTTACGGCGATTCCTTTTATGCAGCTTCTCAACTGGAACTCGATAATGGTTTATTTAAAACCGGAATCCTTTTAAATATGGGGTTTAAAGTGGAATTCTTCAAAAATGGTTAATGAAAGCCCTACGTTTTATGATACCGCCAGGCAGATGTCGGGATTTACTCTTCAATTAGGTAGGATTGCGGTGGGGATAGCAGATTAGACTTCTTTGCAGCTGATGTGCTGCCTGGAGGAAGTGACATTTATGCTTTTGATCCTTCAGTGATTCTGCATGTCAAGAACTGAGCCTTGAAATTCGTCAGCAGTGCTGCCTTAAGAGCAAGCAGTGGATTTTTAACAGAGAGAAAAATTTAAGAACTAGAAGCAACAGCAGGTGCTTAAACACTTTAATTTTTTTCCCCTTTTTTTTTTCCCCAGGAAATTGGGAAGGAAGATTAGCCTCATCTAACTTACTCCATATTTGAAAAGTTAGAAATCTGAGATGCATTAGAGTTTGGAGACCTTCATTTGATTAAGGTAAGATTATTTGAGGGAAATCCTGTCTTCCGCTCATCTCTTTCTGTTTAATTTTGTGGGGGTTTTTTGTTTTTGTTTTTTAACTCCTAATTAGAGTTGGACTTTAATGCATTTAAAATGTGGAGAGAACCCTCCACATTTAAATGGTTAATGCTCATTCAATTTAGTAACTTCCAGCTGCAAAAGGCATATGGCTCTGTATTTACAGACGGTGTCATGTGTTGATAACCAGATTCTGTTTGCCCAGAGGAATGAAAGCAGGCTGCTTATCACAAGGACTAACCCAGGGTGATGATAGTGTGTTCAGGCAGAGATGAGCTGGTTGTTTTTATCTTATTAGTTGAACGTCTCTCATGCATGAAACTGAATCAGCAATTTTTTTTCATCTGGTTGGGAAGCTCAGTAACGACCGAGGGATGGAGGGAGGGAGAGAAGCGGTGGTAATGTCCTTCCTCTAGAGGTGTAAGAGTTCGGTATCGTTGCTGATGAAACTTGAGATCAGGTAAGCAGTACCCTGGGTATAGTGGGAGAACAAAATTGCTCAAGTGTTAATTGAGTGTTTGTGTGAAACCCATTTCAGTTCTGGGTCTGAGAGTGGATCTGCGCATGGGCAGGTCTGGCCCAGTTTGGTTTTCTTTGCAGGGCTGTGCGTTGGTTTTATTATCTTGCACGTTGGGTTGAAAAAATGGATGGTGATCATTCCTATCAGAAAGACAATGCAAGAGGGAACATGGAAATTATATACAATTGAAATGATAGACAATATAAAAATGATATACAAATATGCAGACTTGAAATTGAGTACCCTTTCCCCAGAGGCTTTATGTTTAGATAGTTTTTAACATAACCTTTTTAACAAATGAAGCCTGACTTGTTAAGGATTTTTAATATGCCATTGAAAAGTTGAAAGTCTTTCTTTTGGTGGGATTTGCATTTAAACCATGTTGGTATTAGTGTGTGGTATTGCTGGCCACATGTAATTTTAGAAAACCAAATTGCAAAGGAGGAAAACCAAAATTAAAGACTAGCAAACCCTGTCTTGAATTCCCAGTGCATGTCTCTGGCATGTTCTGGCTGGAAGATAAAAGCAGTATTGGAACTACTGTTCCAACAAAGTAATTTCAAAATGTCTTGTGTTGATTAAAGGAATAATTTTTGCACAGAAGATTAAAGTAACTTACAGTGCCCTTTTTATGTTGTTAACTATTTTATCAAATCTTCCTTTTTTTTTTTATAATTAAACTCCATGCCATGGTTTGATTTGGTTTAAGGAGCTTCTTCTGAGTCTCAGAAACCTGAAGAGAAGTTAACGTGTTGGCAGTCTATACTGGTGTACGTGATCTGTCATTTTGAATTACTTTGTGCTGCAGGACTGTCAGATGAGAGAGGGAGTTTAAAACATCTTATTTTTGTATTTGGAGATGAACAGAAAATAGTATATGACTTAGTAATTCCACTCCTTAATTAAGATGGCAACAAAGCACATTTCAGTGGAGAGACGAATATCTTCCAAAGTCGCAGTCGCTGTATTTGTATTAAAAAAAAAAAAAAAAAAAAAAAAAAAAAAAAAGCATCCATTTTGTGTCGTATTGTCCTATCTTCGGCAGTTCCTAATGAGCAGAGGAAGGCAGCAGATCCTTTTCAGTTTTGTACCCGTTCCCGAAGTGCTCAACATCATCACTTTCTGAAATTCTCTACTAAGTCTGCTTCTGACTTGCAGAAGAAAAATGATTTGTCAAACTAATCGCAGTCCTCAAACCCTTGCAAACTTAACTGCGTGTAGAATGTGCTTGCCTTTTTTTTTTTTTTTATTAACTAGGAGGCAATAGAATTTGAGAGAGTACTCCTATTTTGTGGGGAAATAAAGTTTTGCTGCCAGGTTTTAAATAGATATCCTCTTAAACAATCTGCTTATGCAGGCACCAGGAGTTTTATATTTAAATTGGAATAATTTTTTTTTTAGTATGAAAGTGCTTGCAGATCTGAATTGTGAGGGATAGATGAAATTAAGCTGCAAAAGCACTGATGGCAATCTGCAAAGCTTTAATGTGTTAATGTAGCCTAGGCATTATACATATTTAGAAGCAGTCTAGATTGAATCCTGGAGAAAAGGCAGAGTTATTCATAGACTCCTGTCTTGGGCCTGTTTCTTTCTAAGTGATGGATGGTATAGAAGAGTAGTGTGAAGGAGCTGCTAAAGATTATTTTGCTGTAGGTAGAACTGTATCAGACATTAATTGCCCCAAATTCAGTATTGGCTTAAAAAAAAAAATCCTCCCATGGAGGGGAAAAAGGGAATGAATGATGTTTGTAAAATGCCTTAGCTTTGTGTAAAGACCCTTTTTTTCCCTTCATGAATTATTCAGTTGTTCAAGTCTGTTATATTGCAGTATTTAATATATTTTAAATGACATTGAATCAGTTAATATGGTGAAGGGGAAAGACCTGGGTATATTGATAAATTCTCTGCCAGTGTGCAGCAGCAGTGAAGAATGGGTTGTTGACTTGAAGTGAAAGATGTTTTCTGCCCAAAATATTCCACAAGTGCAAGGATGATTTTGTTATCCCATATTTAAGGCTCTTAAGAAGGCCAAGTTTAGGTCTCTGGGGCAAATGTCCATATGCTTTAATGTTTTAGCACAATCCGGTCTTGATTCTGGCCAGTGCTTTTTGGTGTGTTGCAGTGGAAAGGAATATTGATAGGACTTCAAGGAGACTGAATGTGAATAGGGAATGAGCAATAATGGATTTGTAGTCAAAGAGGAACCCTGAAGCATTAATAAGAAATTAGATCACGAGGTGTTGTTAAAAGAGTTTTAACGTTTCTCTCCCTTTTTTTGAGTGTGCGTGCTTGACTACAGAGAAGCAGGAGGCTATGAAAATACCTGTAAGGTTGTCCGTGTGGTGTTGCTTGGTTTTATTTTCTTGCACCACCATCTTACCCCTCTCAAAGATTTTATTTTATTAAAAAAAAAAAAAAAAATTTAAACTCTATATCATGGAATTCAGCAGTTCTCAGATCTGTTGGTCCCATGTTGTGGTCTTGTGTAATAGTCATGGCAAGAGTACAGTGTTTTGTGCACATGTGTAAGAGATGTGTTCCTGCTTTAAAAGTAAATGAGTGAGAGTGTGTGTGTAAAGACAAATACTTTAAGGTGGACTTTTTTTTTTCTAAAATGGTTGGCACCTGTTTGTAGTAGTTTTGCTTGGTTTTCACTTGCTAGCACGTTAGTTAGAGTATTGCAGCAGTATTTCCAGTATGGCACCTTTAATGGAGGGCTCTGGGGATAGCCGACTGTGTTGGTGTAACCCATTTGGGTATGTCCTTTCCAGCAGACTGGATTTAGGGGATTTTGAGTAGCCAGATAAGTCTCAGGATCTTTGGTTTGGTCTTTTTTCATCTTTCTTTTCTGTAGCATCCTCCCTGTCTGACCAGTCTGCCATCTCCTAACCCAACTGAATTGGAGACAACTAGTCTCCGTTGGTGGTAAAAGTTCTCTCCCTTTTAGCAGCCTCTGTTAGCAGTTCCAGAGCTACTCATCAATTTAACCTTCTTTCTTGGCCAGGTTGGAGCTGGTGTCTCGTGCTGCTTTAATGATGCCTAATAGAAACAGAGCCTCTGTTTGTCTGTCTTTACCTTGGGCAGAGTCCTAGGAAGCAGTTTGGTCCAGCTGCCATGAATGGTGCGCGTCTGAACTTCAACAACAGTCGTGATCAAGCTACCTGAAAGCAGGTGGTGCATGAATATCTCCTGTCCCCCACCCCAATCCTCCCGAATGTACACTCTCTGTATCAATATGTTTTGATTTCTTTGGTTTTCTTTTTATTTCTGCTTGAGCTTCCAAGTCGCACTCGATCTGATCCAGCAGCCTCTGAAACAAGAGTCTTTTTAGGACAGTCTCGTCTAGTTCGAACAAGAAAGGAACATCACTAGCTTTGATGTAAAAGCGTCCAACATTGTACTTGCGACGCTCATGGATACTAGGGCAGGTAGTGGTCAGGGGATAGGGCATTCTAGATATGCCCTGTTCAATGGGCGAGATGGACCCTGGTCTGACCCAGGACAGCTCATGTTTGCTTCCACCTCCTTGTTCCCTGTGAACTTCAGTATGGCATCCTGGTTAGGGGAGAACAGTTCAGTCCAGTTTTAGACCTCCCTGCCAATGTGTCCTGTTTCCCTCACTTGAGATGCATATTGTTCAATTAAATACCATGATTCACAGAAAATGAGGGTTGGAAAGGACCTCAGGAGGTCACATCTAGTCAACCCCCTGCTCAAAGTAGGACTAGCCCCAACTACATCTTCCCAACCAAGGCTTTGTCTAGCCGGGTCTTTAAAAACCTCCAAGAATGGAGATTGCACCACCTCTCTGGGTAACCTGTTCCAGTGCTTCACCACCCTCCTAATGAGAGGGTTTTTCTCAGTATCCAACCTCAACTTCCCTTGCTGCAGCTTGAGCCCATTGCTCCTTGTGCAGTCATCTGTCCCCACTGAGCACGGTCCAGCTCCATCCTCTTTGCAGCCCCCCTGCAGAGAGGTGAAGGCTGCTATTCAATCCCCCTCGGGCTTTTCTTCTACAGACTATGTAAACCCATTTCTCTCAGCCTCTCCTCACCGGTCATGTCCCCCAACCATTTTTGTTGCCCTCTGCTGGATGCTTTCTAACTAGTCCACATCTGTTCTATAGTGGGGAGGTCACAGCTGGACACAGGACTCCAGATGTGGCCTCCTCAATGCAGAAGAGAGGGGAATTATTATTTTCCTTGATCTGCTGGTAACACTCTTACCGATGCAGCCCAGGATGGAGCTGCTGGCTCATGTTCAGCCTCTTGTCCTCTGTCACCTCCAGATCCTTTTCTGCAGAGCTGCTGCCCAGCCCATGAGCCCCAGCCTGCACCAGTGCATGGGATTACTCTATCCTAAGCACAGGACTTTGCATTTGCCCTTGTTGAACCTCATGAGATTCCTTTTGGCCCAATCCTGCAATGGGTTGAGGTCT